TCAAATGTCAAAAATGGACTGCTTTGTCAGATTTTAGTCACCACCTAAATATTTTTGAAAAATTTAGGAAACCCAAGACTCGTGCCAAAGGTCACTTATCTGTCATCATCAAAGTGTCTGGGCTTGGGAACTTAGGTACTAGAGAGGAAGGTCATGAATTGAGCACCCCACTCGTCCGATCAAAGATCGACCTCTATTAATCATGATGTGATTCTTATTTACATTATATGCTCTTGCTCCGATTTATTAGGTCATCTTACGATGTGAAGCACATTAATATAGATTAATTTGCAAAAATTAAAACATTTGATTTTGTGTTTGTTTGAAAACATTTATGTGAAGCACATTAATATATTGTTTTAAATACGTACCATTTGAAAAAGTGATCTCGTATGTATATTTACTCAAATTATTCCAATTCAAGCAATTAGCCTTCATCTACAGACATTCAAATAGGTATATCATTTAAGCATTTAGCCTCATGAAAAATATGCTTGGTATAGCAACACAAACATTTAATGTAAGATGCTAAAGTAATAAATGCTCAAGTACTCCAAGGCAAGCCAAACAAGGCAAGGCAAAATAATTAGAAAATATGCATGTTCCTAAACAATGCAATGTGACTAATGCAACGCACATATGTGTACAATTTTGATAGGCTCGGCTATGAGCATGGTATATGACCCAATTCAAGGCATGCGATAAATCACGTTTTCAAGCAATAAATTTGAAATTGACATTGGTTAGTATGATGATCCGAACCCAAATGCATGTGATACGAGTGTATGCAAGCATGAGAATGCTAAGTAAACATGATGCTCTATACTACCATCATAAGTGGAGAAATAAAAGGGAGAAAGAAATGAGGGTTGGAAGACGTACAACATTATTACATATTTGTCCTTGTGCAAGAGGGTCCGAATCGATGTCCGAATGTTCGAAATAAACTATTTATTACAAATTTGAATGAATGAATTAAATAATTAGCTAGCTAAGTTATTTATAACAAGGGTGTTAGAATGGGCAACAAGCTAGTAATCTAAGTTAACTAGCTATGTAACTACAACAATAATGAGAGCATTAATTTACAATTTACAAAGGAAGCACAAGGATGGCATGCACATAACGGTTCTAGAAGCAACTCTTCCTGCCTTCCTTGGAATCTGCCCTGTTTCACCTTCAGCCACTGCCCTCTGTTTCTGCAAAAACACACTATGTACCAAACATTGAAGGCCGACCAGCCCCCAATGAGGCCCGACCGGGCCCAAATAAGGCCGACCGTGGCCCAATTTTGTGTAAAACCTTATTTTGGTGCTTTGAGGTGAAAATAGTGCAGGTAGAGTTTTCTGAATTCTGTTTGTCCCTCTTACACTTCTCTGTCATGGAAAGCCTCAAGAGAAAGACGAAGTCGTTTCCAAAACCATCAATGAGTAAGTTGCTTGCTTGATGATTTCGGCCACGAATTTGACAAAAATCAATGAATGCAATGAATAACAATCACCCTTCCCTCTTATCATGGAGTGAACTCAAAAGGAAAGTAGAGACGTTTCAAGGGATGTCAAAACACCATGAATTGATGTGTGACGACTCTTGACACAATGGACTCGGCATAACGTCCGAACTTGAGCAACCTTATTCATTTTCTCTATGTTATTAGTCTTGTCTATTTTTTAATCCATTTGTCCAAAGTAATGATTAAGTCCGCTAAATGAGAAGAACGTCAAGCGAGAGGAACTCCTAAATATGAAGAAGAGACCATGCCGTTGACGATGAACCTCCGTAGAGATTAAGCCATTGAGCATAGGTCTCTAGCTTATATTTTGAATATCCATCGATCGGTTGAAATAACTCTCAAACAAGAGAAGAAAAGAAGAAATGGGAGAAGGTTGCAGACAAGATTGCGAGATCGATTATTAAAATGAAACTCTTGACATGAAAGCCAAACAAAGAAGCTCCATGGACAATACAACACAACAAATAAGATATGAGGACTTACAATACAAGCAAATATTGAAAACATAAACTAATTTACTAAATTAGGACAGTCCTAAATAGTCCCAAAACATAAAAAACACAGTGGCTAAAAGTGTGTTAAAAGCACACAAAAAGATAAACAAAAGCAAGGAGACGCAAACTAGTAAACCAAGACAAGGAGAGGTGGCCAACCCTTCACTTTTTGAAACTTTAAATCATGTTTTCCAACCCTTTTTAACCTCTGAAAATCAGTTTGTGAGCTAAAGAAAAGAGTGTAGAAACAAGGGCTTGAGCTATGAAATAAGGTGCAAGAGAAGGTGTTAACCTTCTCTACCCTTTGGTAACTATCCAAACCCAAGTTTACACACTTGAAATGGACTCAAGATAGCACAAAGGTATAGGAAATAAATAGCAAGAGATAGAAAAAGAAGTAAAAGAGAAGGTGGTAAGTTTATACCTCTAAAACAAAGCAAGCTCTTATTTGTAACACAAACTTGGTTCAAGCACACTCTCAAGCTTGAATTGTGATGCACAAGCCTCAACCAAGGCTCTAAGGTTATGATCTAAGGTGGTATATGGTGTATAGATATTAGTCAAGAGAGATAGGCTTGCTCAAAGGTGACTTGTATTAAGTTTATACCTCTAAAAAAAAGCAAGCTGTTATTTGTAACACAAACTTGGTTCAAGCACACTCTCAAGCTTGAATTGTGATGCACAAGCCTCAACCAAGGCTCTAAGGTTATGATCTAAGGTGGTATATGGTGTATAGATATTAGTCAAGAGAGATAGGCTTGCTCAAAGGTGACTTGTATAGGAAGAAGGAGCTTTCTCTTGTGTGTATAAGCCGTTTAAAAATTGTTCAACCCTCAAAACAGAGGTATAATCTCATTTTTATAGAATTTGAGCAAAACAAATCGAAAATATCTTCAAAAATGGACAACTGGCGAGCTCTTGCCCAGAATAGAGTTTATCGCCAGCAAGGCATAGCCGGGCCCAAATAGCCACGGCCTCTCAATGGGGTACGACCAGGCCCTAATGTGTTGCCCTATTCCCCTGTTTCAAGTTTAGTGTAAGGGGACACAATGCTAAAAAATGAACCTCTGAGGTAAGTAAGAAGGTTTGGGGATTACTTCGGGACTTGACCTTGGATTCCCTCGCTAAGAACTTGAATCACACAATGCAGTTTTCATCATCGAGTGCGTTGGACCAAGCACCTAAGTCTTACAGGTGGAAAAAATGGAATGTCTACAGTTACCTCTTTTTGACAGAGCTCGAAGTCAGAAAATGACGTGAGTAAATATCAAAGCCTAGAGACGACCCATTTGACGTAGCCGTAAGACTTGGGCAAGAAAATAAACCAAAATACAAATACCAAAGGTTGAACTCGAAGGTTGCCTATGTATCCTTTTCCAAGGAATCAAATCTGTGTATTTAATGGAAAATGATATGCAGGAAACATAACTTATTATCATGCAATAAAACATTCACACGTATGCTAATAAGCGATGAAGCAACGCAACAAGTGATAATCGGAATACAATACTTGAACAAAAGCATAAATCCAAGAAAAACAAACTAAGCAGCCGTGTCTCACACGGAAAGAAGTGAGTAAATAAACACATCTCACGTGAAAGGAAAAAGGGAGCACAAACCAAACTACGTCTCACATAGAAATGATATAAGAAAATGCAAACCTAACTACTGCTCACGTGAAAAAGAGTACAAACTAGACGACTACTTCTCACGTAGAGAAGGCGAAAAGCTTTATGCCAAACTACATCTCACACAGAGAGGGTGGATGATGGGGTGAACCCCAGGTGTACCTGACGTTTTAACCGAGTAATTGAGATCTTAACGTGTCTCATGCGAGAGGAGGAAATGTGGTATAAACAACAGGCACGCTTGCAGTTTTAACCATGGGAACAATCTTAACGCGTCTCACGCGAGAGGAGGAAAAGTGGTGTAAACAACAGGTGCACTTGCTGTTTTTAATCAAGTGGAACAATCCTAACGTGTCGCACATGAGAGGAGGAAAGTGGTGTGAACAACAGGCGCACCTGCTATATTTAACCAAGCAGAACAATCTTAATGCGTCGCATGCGAGAGGAGGAAAAGTGGTGTGAACAACAAGCGCACTTGCTATTTTTAACCAAGCGGAACAATCCTAACGTGTCACACGCAAGAGGAGGAAAAGTGGTGTGAACAACAGGCGCTGTTTTTAACCAAGTGAAACAATCCTAACTCGTCACACGCGAGATGAGGAAAAGTGCTGTGAACGACAGGCGCATTTGCTGTTTTTAACCAAACGGAACAATCCTAACGCATCGCATGCGAGAGCAGGAAAAGTGGTGTGAACAATAGGCGCACTTGCTGTTTTTACCAAATGGAACAATCCTAACATGTCATACGCGAGAGGAGGAAAGGTGGTGTGAACAACATGTGCACCTGCTATTTTTAACTGAGCGAAAACAATCCTAACGCGTCGCACGCGAGAAGAGGAAATTTTAGATCAATAAAAAGGGCAAACAATTCAAAACTTAACACAGCAAGATCGGAAGGCCTCGGAAAATAAAGCTCGCTGAGATAACCCAATTCAGTGTGCAAAATTGAAGCGAATTTACAAAGAGTTAAACATGAATTTAACAAACTTATAGAAAATCAAAGTAATTGAAGTGACACTCGAATAGGTTGTCGATTTTGCTTTTTGTTTTTTCTTCCACATACAAAATAACAACACAAATTACAGAACAAATAATGAAATAATGGACCAATTTATGAAACAAAGCAACAAAAACAACAAATAAGTATGGAACAAGTAACTACCCAAAGCAACAAAACAAAACAAGAATAAAACCTATTCCTTTTCTATTCTCTCCACTTAGTTATCTTCCCTTTTTCCTATTTTTTGCTTCTTCGTTTCTTCCTCTCTTTTTTGCTTTGTTTTTTTTTCTTCTTTTTACTGTTTTTCTTCTTTTTTTTCTCTCTTCTTCTTCTTCTTCTTCTTCTTCTCTCTCTCTCTCTCTTTGGCTTTTCTTCATTTTTCAATTATTTTCATTCTTTTTTCCTTTCTTTTTTTTTTCGCTCACTGTTTGTTTTCATTTTTTCTCTCTTGCTTTTTGTTTTTTCATTTTCTCCCTAAATTCATATTGAGACCCAATATTAAAATAAACAAACAAAACAACAAAACAAAAACAAACTGGGTTGCATTTGGGGCCGGCCGGGCCCTAATAAAGCACTGCCGGGCTCCAATGGAGCCGCCCAGGTCATGATAGCAACAGGGGCAATTTTGGAAAAACCATAACCCGTGTTTTAAGCACATCCCAACCTTCACTTCACACACACACAAGGTCGAAAATCCCTCCCCCTCTCTCTCTAGGTTTCCTCTCCTCTCGCAAAACCCATCAACCCATAAATTTTTTTCCTTAAACTCCTTTCAATCCTCTACCTTTTGAACCAAACGAAACTTGATCTGGTTAAGGTTTTTGATTTGCCCTTGGTTTTCCTTGATTCTCAAACCTTTACCCACATTTTTCCTTCCTCCTCTTTTGATTTTTCCTTTCTCTTTTTTCTCTCTCCTAGGGTTTTGGTCTTAGGTGCGGATATTGAGGCTGAGGGCGTTCATGAGCCTATATTTCCTCCTTTTGTTGATAGGCCATTCGATGAAGCCACTTACCAGCCATGTACACACACTCTGACCCCAAGTGGTATCTTAAGATTCGAGGGCCTCATCCCAAGGATAGATGAGGACATTTTGCTGCAAGAGCCCGCGGAGCACTTGTCCGCCGACGCTTCCACAGTAAGCAATCTTTCCCTTGTTTTGCACATATGTTGAATCTCGTAAGCAAACTACTCATCAATGCTGTATACGTATTGATAACATTCCCCATTTGCAGGTGATAGCCAGGAGGATTGGCAGTTACGGGTCCATATCCGACCCTGGACACTGGTATAAGAGGCTTCCTGTGCAGGTCCGCACATAGGTCGATGCTACCGGCTTTGGGCCCTTCTGTTCAAGGCTCATACAGATGAGGGCTGAGCAACTGCTCTACGGAGCCTTGATAGAAAGTGGTGGGACACCACTGACTTGTTCCATTTCTCGTTGATTGGGGAGTTGACCTTGACTCCATATGATTTCTCGATGCTCACTGGCCTGTGGGTAGGGGTTGGCAGCCCAATCTCATTTGATTTTGATATGACGCAGTGGAGAGCCACCCAGTGCCAGCTCCTCAGGGCAATCCCAGACACCACCAGCTACAGGATAGTGAGGTACAATTGGTTCTTTGATCACTTCTCCACCTTTCAGCTAGCCACTTTAGATGAGGTCACCCGATACACCCACGGCTTTCTTATGTATCTCCTCGGTACTACCCTGTTTGCGAAGAGGTAAAATACCGTGGGGCTATATCTCGTGGGAGCATTGGTACATCTACCACAAGTGGTAGAGTATGACTGGGGTGGTGCCGGCTTGGTTACCCTGTACTGCTATATGCGCTCTGTATCTCGTCGAAAGGCGAATTCACTTGGCGGCTACTGGAGGGTTTGGGAGGTACATCTCATACTTACTTTTTCTGTTTTGCTTTGCATTTCCTATTTGTATCTAGTTATCTTCTCTATTCATAACTACTTATCTACTTTCTTGTAGCTATGGGTTTACACATATTTCATCTCTCTTGCTCTAGTCCCAGTACGACCTCTTCAGTTGTCAATACCCCACTCCCGGTACTACAACTCTCGATTCGAGCGGTGCCGCCGTGTGGACCGAGACTTCCCTTACCTTTTCCGTTTCTTTGACCCCATCACCGCAAATCAGGTGACAAAATACTAGTCTTTACATTTCACCATTGTTCCCGTATTGTTGTTTAAGTCCTTAACATCTAATTCTTACCTTATACTTTTTGCTCACAGGTTGACTGGCACCCCTGGGTGGGCATCCCTCAGACAGCGAGGATGACCTACGTTGCTGCATGGCATGCCTCCACCATACGGATTCTGTTTGAGGGTCCTTTTGGCAGGGCATATTACTTGGGGGAGAGGTTTATTCGTCAGACACGAGGTGTAGCTGATCCCGACATCCTACATCCTCCTCCTCAAGGCATGCAGGTAGTTGATGACCTCCATGACAGACCCCAGATCGACTTCCTGATGCTAGGGTGTGGCTAACCTTTTTCACACCCTTTTTCGGAAGGTTTGAAAGAGGGCCCTCACAGTTCGGACTCCCGTGGTTTTGAATCTAATCTCACAAGTGCAATGTGAAACTGATAAACACCAAAGAGTCCAAATTCGGCAAATCATTTTGGAAAATTGATTTTGAATTAAAAAGTGTCAAAATTGGATTACTTTGCTAGATACAGAGTCATCACCTAAATATATTATTTTTTGAAAAATTTAGGAAACCCTGACTCGTGTCAAAGGCCACGTGTCCGTCATCACCAAAGTTGTCTCAGTTCGGGAACTTGTGTACGAGAGGGGAAGGTCATGAATTAAGCATCTCCGCTCGCCCGATCAATAATCGGCCTCTACTAATCATGATATGATTTTTTGTAAACATTATGTGTTCTTATTCTGGTTATTAAGCTAGCTTTACTATGTGATGCGCACAAGCAAGTATAGACTAAAATTGCAAGAATTTGAACAATTTAACTTCATATTTGTTTGCGAAAATGGTTTGAATTTGCCACCTCAAGTGGGCTTAAAGTTTGCGGATTTGCCACCAAACATAGTGGGCTTAAAACTGATTTGCTACACAACAAAGTGGGCTTAAAACGCACATTTGTTGAATCGTTCCAATTCAAACAACAAACCTTCATTCACAAGCATCCATGCAGTTTAGCATTTAAGCACATAATCTCATGGCAAGCATGCTAATCATGGCAACATTCACGTTTATGCAAGTATGCCAAAGCGTAAAAACTCACCTAGTACTCAAAGTTAAAACAGAAACTAGTTAGAAAGATGCATGATCCTAACTATGTTAAGATGCCTAATGCAACACATGCGAAGAATACAATTAATAGGCTCGGTTACTAATATGACATATGGATCGATTAAATAACATGCAGTTAAACACGTATTCAAATAAGTATTGAAATGATAATGCGGTTTGAATGATGCGCTGAGCCTTGGTGCATGCAATACGAATGAATGGATGCAAACATGCGATATGCTTATTGAAACATGACGCTCCTAATCTAACCATGAAAAGCGATTAAATAAAAAGGAGAAGACGTGGCGTTAGAAGACATACACCCGTGCACGCACACTTATTACAACATTACACCCTTGCGAATGAGGGTCCGAATAAATAAGCTACCCAACTAGCTTTACTAATTAAGCTAACTAATTATTACAAAACTCAAAACTAATGAACTATTCTAGTTAACTAATTATTACAAACCGAAACCGAATAACTAGTTAAACTAACTAATTATTTACAACTCTTAATTAGTTACAACTAATTAATTACAATACATATTTAAGCTAGATATTTAAACGTTAAATAAGCTTGAAAATGCAAGGGAGGCTCATACACGTGCTCGGTTTCCACTCAAAAAGCCGCTGTTTTGCTGCTGCAAGCCTCTGTTTGCACATTTGAGCACTGACAATGCTGCCCACTTCCAGAACACCTCTGCTCCACCTTACCAACAAACTGTGCAAATTTCATTGGTGGCTGACAATGGGCCGATCGTCTACCAATGGTGGCCGGTTGGCTACCATTGGTGGCCGATCAACCACTGGTGGTGGATGTCGGCCATTGTTGTCCTGAACTTTTTTGTTGCAACAAAGAGCAAAACAGAGCTAAATAGTGTATTTCTCAAGGGTTGTTTGCATACTTCGCCTCTTCTTTTCATGGGGAATTCAAAAGAGAGACAAAATTTGGTTTACCAAACCATCAATCAAGAAATTGCATTGCATGATGGCTTGTGAAACCAATTGTGCAAGTTCAATAAATGCAAAACAAGACTCAAATGACCATCACTCTATTATGCATGATCAAGGGCAATGGAGATTTAGGAAAATGGCACATATTATCACTTTTGAGTATGAAACGTCTTATTTTCCTTGTGTTCAAATTAACGTCCGATTTGAACACATGTAATGTAACAGAAAGAATGCTTATCTTGTCTCTTTTACTTGCCAATTTTGTTTACTCATTTTAATTACCAAATCATTCATTAATCCATTAAGTCCATTGATGAGTGTCCTCTAATGGAAAGAGCTCAAACCACAAGTTGCTTTGGGCATGAAAGAGGTATTATACTGTTGGTAATGAACCCCCTAAGGGATTAAACCATTAGGTGTAGCACCTCCATTTCACATTTAGGCAAACAAGGGGTTTGGAGTCACTTTCAAAGCAAAAATAAAATCAAGAAAGGAGGGAGGTTGCAGAGATGATTAAGTGCTGAAAATGAGTGACAAAAGCACTAAAACATGCAACCAACTCAAACCAATGGTAGTTAAAGCCTTAAAACAATAAGCTAGTGAAGGAACTTACACTACAACCATGCCATACAAGGCTCGAAAGGGACCAAACAGCCAAAACAGTGACAAAACAGCTCAAAGTAGAGTGTAAAACATGTTGGACTTGAGCCACAAAAAGCTAAAATATTAAGCTAATACATGGGGCTAACTAGGCATGCAAACAAGACACAAGGAGAAGAGGCTAACCCCTCCAATTTTGGACTTCAAAATAGTTTTTTACCATTGAAAAACCTCTGAAATTCAGTGGTTAAAAAGGCGAAAAAAGTTGGTTTGAAAATGATGAACAAAGGCACAAACACTCAACAAACTAAGGAGCAAGAAGGATGAACCACTCCCTAACTAAAAAAAGGGGCTCAAACCACCACTTTTAAGCTACAAAAATAGAACTTTTTACAGTTTAAAATCAGCTCCAAAATAGTAAGAAAGGATGGCAAAACAAGTATATTGAAACAAAGTAAACAAGGCAAGAGTTATACCTTTAAAGCAAAGCTCAAGTTTAGACACCAAACCAAGCTAAAATCACCTTTAAGAGCTCAAAACAAGTCCCAAGGAACCTCAGCTCAAAGGTGAGAGGATTTGGTTTAGGATGTGTATGCAAAAGTGTACAGAGAACAAGCAACTAAGCACAAAATTGCAAGAGAGAGAGAAATCTAGGGAGAGAGAGAGAGGGATTTTTTGTTCCAAAATTTCTAACCCTCAATAGTGGGGGAGGAACCCTCATATATATAGAAAAACATGCCTTGAGTTTAGAAACATCCTACCATACATGTGTAGGGAGATGCAACTCAGTGTGCTAACAGTTGTCACAGTTGTCAACAAATATCTAGGAAAAGACACTGGTGGCCGACCAACCACACCAATGGCCGACAACCATGAGCCATGGCCGACAGCCTATGGTGGTGGCCGATAGGTCACCAAAGGTCCAAACACCAAGTTTTGGTCCAAAACAAGGGACAAAGAAGACAAGGTTTAAGGGCTCAAAGACAAGGAGTTCCGCTGAGGACTTCGGGCACACAAAACGAACACATGCAATCACAATCATCCTATGCACAAGTGATAACGTCCAAGTCTTGGGGACGGTAAAAAATGGGGTGTCTACAGTTGCCCCTCTTTGATAGAACTCGGAAGTCGTGAAGTGACGGGAGTGAATGTCAAAGCCTAAAGACGACCCATTTTGACAAGGCCGAAGACTTGGACGAATAGACAAGCAAGCAAGACAAAAACGGTTGCGCCCGTGGACTGCCTACGTATCCCTTTGTAAAAAATCAAACCAGCGTAGTTCTCGGGCAAGATGCAGGTGATATGCACGATGCAAGAACATAACTTATGATTATCCAATGAGGTTGAGCAACGAAACATTTAGATGCAAATGCTACGCAATGAAAATGCCACATTCAAACAAATCGAAATAAGGTATAACAACCTCAAATACAAAAGTAAGGAAGTAAACACGGCACACATGGGAATTATGAATCAAACCATATTTCATGCAGAAAGGATGTAAGAAAATTATGCAAACTTAACTACGCGAGGCATAGGAAAGGCGAAGAGCGACCGTCTGGCACACCCGAGGTCTCAACTGAAATCCTAATGTGTTGCACACGGAAGGAAAAGGGTGGTGTGAACACTGAGACGCATCCGAATGTTTTTAAACAAAACAAACAATCCCAACGCATCTCACGCGCGAGAGGAAAAGGTGGTGTAAACACTGGGACGCACCTGAATGTTTTTAACCAAAAGGAGTGGTGTAAACACTGGGATGCATCCGAATGTTTTTAACCAAAAAGAGTGGTGTAAACACCGAGACGCCCTCGAATGTTTTTAACCAAAATGAGTGGTGTAAATACTGAGACGCACCCGAATATTTTTAACCAAAATGAGTGGTGTAAACATTGGGACGCACCCGAATGTTTTTAACCAAAATGAGTAATCTTAACGCATCTCACGCGCGAGGAGAGAGAGTAAAAGGATGCGATTCGAAGGGTACAAATGATTTCACCCAGAACTCTGCTAAATAAACCATACATACAATATCGTATCTGCGTAAGGAAAAAAAAAAAAAACTTAACAAGTACAACATATTAAGGGTGCATGTTCTGTGCACAATTGCAATAATGTTACGGCATGTTCTATGCAAATGTATTAACAACATGTTCCATGCAAGATAAATTGGAAGCATGTTCTATGCATGCAGGAAACAGTGTATATTCTATGCAAGACGATATGTGCAAAATGTACGTTCTATGCATGCGCACAACGTATATTTTATGCAAGGATGAAAGCGCATTCTCAACACAACAAATTGAGTAGCAACTTCTGATTTACCTCTTGGATGAGTTGCAACATGTTTTAAAAAGGATACACCTCGTTCATGTTGACTAGCAACGAACATCAAGCACTGAAGACACGGTTTGGAGCTTCCACAGAGGCAATTTGAACTCAACAGTGACATTTCCTTGCACCTCTCGAGAAATAGAGCCAAGAAACAACATTAAGACTCAATGGAAGAGCACTGGGCATTGGACGGCCGCGAGGGGAGGGTGTCGGCCACCCTTGAGCATTGTTGGCCACCAATGTGGCCTGTCAGCCACCAGTGGTAGTCGGTCGGCCACCGATGGCAAATCGGGCCAAAATGGTCTTTTTACGCATGGGTCTTTAAATATAGGCTATGGGGCCTCATTTCCACACACCCTCGTGTCCAAAATTCCACCCCCTCTCTCTCTAGACCTTTCTTCTCTCTAGATCTGCGCTTTTTACGTGTTTTCAACGCCCACACGAAGTCGATTCGCTAAATCCTTTTGATTTCCTTCGTTTTGAACCGATTGAAATTTGATTTCGGTGCTTTTCCTTGGAGTTTCACCACTCGAGGCTTGTTTCCCTCAAGTTCTTCTTAGGTTTGGTGCCTTTTTTTGGGCTTTGACTTTTTCTTTCCTTCTCTCTCTTAGGGTTGACTTTTGTCATTTTCCACATATTTTCCTCATTTCCCTTCACTTTTCACGGATTTTTCGTCTGCTTTCCATATGGCGGATGATCTACCCCACGACGGAGCTTCTCCGGAGATCCCACCCCAGTTGTCTCCAAAGATGGAGGCGGAGCCCGAGTCGATGCTACTACCACCCAGGATTTGACTATTTGACCCGACGATATATCATCCTCGGATACATGTGCCATCACCCGAGAGTATGCGGGGTTTTAGAGGGTTTGTGCGAAGTGCACCAGAGGACCTCTTGCTACGAGAGCCGGACTCCCATTTATCTTACGGTGCCACCGAGGTATATACTGTATTCTCATGTTTTCTTCACTGTACATTGCATTTCTTGCTTTAACTGTGTTCCTTGCTTCAACTGTATTGTTTACACTACATTTCTTGCCCTAATCACATCTCTTGCACTGTATTTCTTACACTGCCTCTTCATCTGCTTCTTCTCAAACCACTGTCTATCATTGTTTTGATCACAAGAGGATTCTCGCTCTATCAGAGGCTATGGAGCCACATCCTCGAGGGAGTGGTACATAGAGCTTCCTGCCGGTGTCCTTCACATTATCGACGAGGCCGGCTTTAGCTTATTTTGTACGGGGTTGTCGTGCCTCATTGCGAGTCGGCCCTTACTCGGAGCATTAGTAGAGATGTGGTGGGATACCACCAACTCTTTCCACTTCTCTACTGCGGGGGAGATGACGATGGCTCCTAACGACTTCTCTATGCTCATTGGCATAGGAGTAGGGGGTCACTCGATTCCTTATGATACAGACATGGGTGAGTGGGAGGCCGCCTAGATTTATCTGTTAGGGACACGCCCACCTCACTTCCGATCGAGGATGGTGCAATATAGTTGGTTCGCGAAGCAATTCCAGGGGACTGAGCCAGAGACCCTAGAGGAGACCGAGCATTACGCTCGAGGTTTTTTGATGTTCCTCTTCGGCACCACCTTGTTTGCGAACAAAGGGAACACTATAGGATTATATCTTCTAAGCGCCTTGGTAGATTTATCTCAGGTCGGACTCTACGACTGGGGCGGTGCTGGCCTAGCCACATTGTATGGCTATATGAGCTCCACATCTTGCAGGAGTGGAGACAGAGTTGGAGGCTACTGGCGAGCCTGGAAGGTACGCTTTACATTTCTATTTTACATTTTCTACTTTTTGTTTCTATGCTTTCTGCTTGGCACTTTCTGTACACCGCACACTGCATTGTTTACACCCATATATTGCACTTCCTGCACTGTACACTTTGCATCCTCTGTATCTGTACTCTCTGTACACTGTATGCACCTTCTGCACACATTCTGTTTTTTGAATCTGAGCTTGTACTTTCCATACACTATACATTGTATACTCATTATTGCCTCTTTCCTTACAGCTTTGGGTATATGCATATTTCCCGACCCTCGCTCTGGAGCCAGAGGTAGAGATGCCCCCCGTTGTGGGTGTATGCATATTTTTCGACTCTCGCTCCGAAGCCAAAGGTGGAGATGCCCCTCTTTGTGCCGTACTCTCATCAGTACGACGGCAGGTGCTTGCGAAGGACCAAAGAGACCTTTTCATTTTTCTATCAGTATTTCGACACCGTGACCGTGGCAAAGGTAACTCAAAATTTGCAGTTATTTTCATTCCACGTGGGCTCTGATTCATACTTTGATATCTAATGGTCACTAACAATCTGTGTATTCTCTATTTACAGATCACTTGGCAGCCTGGGGCGACGATGCCGACCGGAGTCAGGGACCAGTTCGCTAGATCTTGGGGAGCCTCCTGTTATCAACTTTTGTTTGAGGGCCCGGTTTGTGGAGCCTGGTTTTTAGGCGAGCGGTTCTTACGCCAAACCATGGGCCTGCCTGAGCCAGTAGTTCCCATGGCACCTCTGCCATCTATGAGAGCCACAGAGAGACTCACCTTCCAAGAGATGATTCAGTTCACGGAGGGCTTGGAGGCCGACTACTTTCGCGGGGAAGGCAACTATTCGACATTCATCTAGACACACCTCATGCCTCCTTTGACCGGTATTTGTGAAGGCGAGAAGGCGGGGGCTCCAGCTACGAGGGAGAGAGCCAGAGTGTCCAGGGTGGCTAGGGCGACTAGGGCACATGGTAGAGGGGCTACCCAGAGGATTGGTTGGCCAGAGCTGCCTACTGCACTCACATGTTGGAGGTATACTAGAGAGGCATACTAGATTCTGATTGAGCCTGCTGCAGTGGGGCATAGATATGTCAGAGCTCATGATGCACCCCCGGTATATACCACATTTTTTGGTTTTCCCATCTCTTTATGATATTTGTTCCTTCCAGACACTGATCATCCCCAATGCATTCGTCCCAGGATACACCAAGGATCTGCTGGAGCTACTAGCCTCATTTGAGGATATGATATTGAAGAGGGAGGCACTGCTCGACTTCCACGGCATTCAGGTCATTTCTTCAGTATTCTTACATTCCAGTCATCAAATTTCCACTGACACACTAAAACTAGCATTTTAACTGAAAACTTCCCCACACTGCACTAATACACTGTATCTGAAACACTACATTTCCATACTGCATACATACACTGTACCTGACTTTTGCATATACTCATTCTGCACACTATACTTGCATCTGATATACATACTGTGGCTAACATATGACAACTGTCTTTTTAGGTCCCACCCATACGGACAGCACCAGCGCAGTTGCAGCACCTGCACCAGCGATGTCTCCATCAATAGTAGGAAGGGGAGAGAGACAGGCTCTAATACGCAGCCGAGGTAGAGCCAGAGGTATCCGAGATGAGAGTGGTCCTTCAGAGCCCATTCTGAGCGATGATGATGCCGAGACGAGTGGCTCTAAAGAGGCAGTGAGTCCACAATCTAAGTCCTCTGAGAGTGGAGACGACGGCGACTCTGGTTCCGAGAGTGGGGATGCTGATGCCGAGGCAGGTTCAGAGAGAGAGAGAGTGAAGATGGCACCGGCTCAGACTCTAGTTCAGATTCAGACAGCGGTGCCAACGAAGATAGTGCCCCTAAGTCCCTTCCTTCGAGGAAGAAGACGAAGAGGGCATCACGAGCCTGAGGCGACTGGCACTGATTTTCCTGTAGTTTTTGTTTAGCCTCTTTTGTTAGTAGTGTTAGCACATGTATAGCTTCAGACAGGTTTTATTTGCTTCAAAAACTTGTACCACACTTTTGTAAAAGAAAACAACCATGATCGGAATGAAAACCTGTTTTTATTTGAAGAAGGTGTTGTATTTTGCATCATGAGCACAGCATCGCATGAAAATGAGATTGAATTTGATAATGACATTTGAAAATGGCATTAGCACAACTCTCTTAATCAGGTAATGAACCAACCAACACTAACAAACAAAGTAATAAAACTTGATAATCAAAATAGCAACAATTCAATAAACAAAACAAGAAAACACGATAAACAACAAAACAACTCGATAAACAAAACAAAACAAATCAAATACAACTTAATAAACTTGCTAAAACTAAAAGGACTTAAAACAAGACCATAAAATGCACAAAGAACAGGAAAAAAAAAAACAACATGCTTTCAGCATTCTCAGTACACAGGTGGACAAGAAGTTAGAAAAAAGGTTGTCGACCATGAATAGATGTGGTCGACCACTAAGGGTGGCCGGTCAACTTCCACAGTGGCCTATCGGCCATCACTAGTGGTTGGTCGGCCATCTATGTGAGGAACCTCCAAATTGGTGCCACCTGGCTTCCACTCACTGCCTTATCTTCTACAAAAGGTTGAGCTTCGTAGTTTCTTCATTTCAGTTACAAATTCTTCACAAAATGGAGCCATTATTTGCCCAAAAACTCTCGAATTGGATTGCAACTTTAGATGGCTCGAAAAAGTTAAATTTTTGGGGTTTCGGCATAAATGCACTATTCCCGCTTAGTCGTTCCCCGCTTTGTTTTCCATTTCTACATGCAGCAGCTAGATGTTGGAACCCCGATTACACATGTTTTTAGCTTCGGGAGACAAGAGCTATGCCCGATAATCGAAGAATTTCAAGTGCTAATGGATTCCCGACGCGATGAGAAAATCTTGTCTTAGCTCCGTTTTGGTCACATCCAAGCTGTGAGACAGATGTGCCGGCTTACTCTACACGAGGCTCGTTCCTTGGTTCACAACGGAGAGTTGGATATTCCCAGTTTGATTCATCGATTTGGTGACCGTGACGACCTTCTTTGGCGGGGTTTTCGACAACATGCCTTTTGTTTGTGCATGTTAGCACATTTCCTCCTTGTCCCTAGTTTCGGAGGGTCTAGCATTCGGCTAATTGAAGTGGCGCAAGGCCTGAAAGAGGGCAAGAGTTGCATTGGCTTGACATTGGCCGAGACTTTGATGGGCTTAGACGCCTTCCATCGGCGAGAGACCACCAAATTCGCGAGGAGTCCATTACTTCTTCAAGTAATTTTTCCACCCTTTCTAATATGTGTTTCTCACATTTCTCGGCACTCATGCTCTATTTTTCCCTCAAAGCCCTTTTCTCACTTTTCTCTCAGCGCACATCTCTCTATTTTTTAATTTCTCTTTTCTTTCATCCCTCCCCAAATATGGCTTATGGACAAACTGAAAGTAGTGGACTCTTGTCTCGCATACACAGCCCCAGCATACCATTTCCACCAACAGCTAATTGATTTTCCGAATGAAGGATATTGGTGCCACTAGATGTGCAACAGGTTTGCTACTGATATTGATTGGCGTTGCCCCTGGCTTAATCTGATCGAAATGAGCTACAACATGACTTGGCAACCTGGCATTGAGTTGATTGGCCTTACACACTATGTATTCTACTTTCCGTTCTGGTTCAAGCGCTAATTTAGACATGATCATATTTGCCCAGAGGAGGGGGTAGAATACTCGGTTTTATTCCCCGTCTGAGGCTTACATTTGGCTAGGTACCTCACTGCTTGGAGGACAAGAGAACTTCTGGCTCCTGCTCCTAATTTCAGTTGTGCACTTTCTAGCGAGTGCCTGACCTGGCTTAAAGATGAGGCGCAATTCGGGCCCACTTTAGCATCAGGAGCTTCTACAAGCACAAGCAGGGGACGCAGGAACACCTGACTCATCTATGCCCCAAGTTTATTGCTTTGATCTTACTTTTCAAGTTTTATGAATGTAATAAAAACAGCTTTTGATTTGTATCGAGATTTGGAGAACTTTGTACTGAAATCAATGAAATTGAAGTTGTGAGCACTGAAAATTTTCATTTTGGTCCAAAATGGTCTAAGTTGTAAAAGGATTAATTTGAACAAAAATCAACTTTTATCAAAACTTTTCAAAACTATTTTCGATAAGGATCATAACTTGACACACAGGTAATCTATCCTCGAGATGTACAACCCCAAATCCGAAGACAACAAATTGCCCCTTGACTGAATGGCACTGCTTAGCACTATGACCATCTCTCAAAGAGGATCATAACCAAACATCCAGATAAAGAATGAACAAGGATAGCTTGATCATCATACGGACAAGACAGTTGAGTTAGAGGTGTTTACGGCCGAACTTCAGAATGAAGTTACCTACGTATCACAAAGATGGGAATCAGGCTTTACGTAGTTCGGTTCGGGTTCACTCAAGTATTAACACTCTCTTTTTGCGCCCAAACTTTTGCCAAGGTCGCCCTTTAGGGTTTTCAATCTTGCGAGCTCAGTTTTTCTTTATTTCTAATTTTTTTGTGCTCTAACTTTTGCCTAGGTCGCCCTTCTAGGTTTTCAGCCTAGCAAGCCTCTCAGGGGTAACATTTCTTCAACTTGTCCATATTGATCGGTTGGGAAAATTCTAGGCCATCCAGGTCCATAAGAATAATAGCTCTACTCGACCAGATAGTTTTGATAATGTAAGGACCAGTCCAATTGGGTCTGAACTTGCCCCTAGGGTCATGGATGGGAGCTCGGTTGTCTTTCAGCACCAAATCTCCTTCTTTAAGATTTTGGGACTTAACTTTCTTGTTAAAAGCCCTGGCAATCCTACGTTGATAACCCTGAACATGGTACAATGCTTTCAGCCTTCTCTCATCGAACAGTATCAGTTCCTCGAACTTGCTCTGTTGCCAATCCGCCTTTGCTATCTGACACTTAGCCATAACCCGCAGCGACGGAACTTCTATTTCGATCGGCAGAACAACTTCCATCCCAAAAACAAGGGAGTATGGAGTTGCCCCAGTAGACGTCCGAATTGAAGTCATATAACCCTAGAGTGCAAATGGCAATTTGTCTGGCCAATCCCTGTAGGTCTCAACCATCTTCTGTAAAATATGCTTGATGTTCTTGTTGGCGGCCTCAACAGCTCCGTTGGTTTGCGACCGATATGTGGATGACTTATGAAAAGCCACGTTGTATTTCTCCAACAAGTCGATCACTTCTTTCTTGAAATAGGAGCCATTATCTGAAATGATCTTATTCGGGACTCCATAACGGCAAATGATGTTATTTCGAATAAACTTAGCCACATGCACTGCCATCAAAACTACATAAGACTGAGCTTCCACCCACTTGATAAAGTAATCAATTGCCACCAGAATGTATTCATGCCCATTTGACCCTTTCGGTGTGACTGCGACGATGACGTCGATTCCCCAGACTGAGAAAGGCCATGGTGAAGTCATGTTGTACAGCTTTGACGGCGAAATATTCATGCGATTGGCATGAATTTAGCATTTGTAGCATTGCCGAATAAAACTAATACAATCCTCCTCTATGGTAGACCATTAGTAACCTTGCTTGAGAATCTTCCGGGCTAACACTACCCTATTCATGTGCGCTCCGCACTCTTCCCCATGAATAGCCTCTATTAGGCTCTTTGATTCCTCTACGTCGACACATAATTTGTGCATTCCTAGATGACCCCTCTTATATAGTTTACCTCTGCAGATGATAAATTGAACGGCCATCCGTCGTATTGCCCTCTTTTCTTTGGCATTCGCCCTTGGTGGATGAACCTCCTTTTTCCAAGAAGTTCCAAATATCATAAAACCAAGGGTTTTGATCTTGTACTTCATCTATTCCAGCAATAGACTCGTAGGCTGGCGTATATCTCTGTTCAATAATGATCGGATGCATCCGGACTCCAAAAGGGATGTCTATCATAGAAGATAGAGTAAGGCGTCAGCAAACCTGTTGTTCTCTCTTAGTAGATATGTGAAGGTTAGTTTCTCAAACCTAGGAATCAGAACATCCAAGCTCTGGTGATAGATCTTCATTTTTTCTTCTTTGACCTTCTAGTCTCCTTTTGCTTGAGAAACAACTAGGTTTGAGTCACCGATAACGTCCAACCTTTTTGCCCCTAGTTCTAGGGCGGCTTCCAAACTAGCGATACACGCCTTGTATTTTGCTTCGTTGTTAGATACTTTGAACCAGAGTTTGAAGACTAAAGGTATATGGGAATTGTTGGGTGCTATCAGCAACACCCCTATTCCATAACCGTACTGGTTAGACGCTCCGTCGAAGTACATTATCCAAATCTCTTCCTCAATTTGCAGAATAGCTTCATCTGGGAAAAGGTATTCTACCGTTTCATCCCCTTCTACTGGGTGATCTGCCAGGAACTTTGCTACCACTCTCCCCTTGACAGACTTGCAAGTAACATACTTCAAATCAAATTCGGAAAGGAGAAGCAACCAACAAGCTAGCCTGTCCGTAAGCGCTGGTTTCTTGAAGAGATATTTTATGGGATCTAATTTTGAAACCAGAATTACGGAGTGAGCGAACAAGTAGTGCCTCAACTTCCTGGTAGCCCATACCAAGGCTAGGCAAGCTTTCTCCAACGGCGTCTAGCGGGTTTCATAATCCAGCATTTTCTTACTTAGGTAATAGATGACTTTCTCCACTTTATCCTCAGATTCTTGAGCAAGCATGCATCCCATCGTTGTATCTATTACTGACAGATACAAAATCAAGGCCTTCCCCGGCTCTAGCGGTGATAACACGGGTGGATTGTGAAGGTACTGCTTGATCTGCTCGAAAGCGAATTGACATCGGTCATCCCATTGGAATTTCTTTCATTTCTTCAGGAGACCAAATAGTGGTTCACAAGTCAAGGTTAGTTTTGAAATAAACCGTCTTATGAATTGCACTTTACCCAGAAAGCCTCACACCTCATTTTCAGTCCTTGGTGATGGCATTTCTAGGATGGCCTTGATTTTGAAAGAATCTACCTCGATGCCTCTCTGTGTGATCAAGAAACCTAGCATTTTCCCTACTGTTACAC